AGGAAGGAAGGAAGGAAGGAAGGAAGGAAGGAAGGAAGGAAGGAAGGAAGGAAGGAAGGAAGGAAGGAAGGAATAGGAATAGCACTTAGACTTGCATACCACTTCACAGGGCTTTTACAGCCCTCCCTAAGCAGTTTAGAGTCAGCAGTTTGCTCCCAACAATCTGGGTCCTCATTTTACCAACTTGATCTGGCCTTTCAGGTCATGGCAATATCTATTCAAGAATTATATTTCCTCATTGGCAGCTTCAAATACTGAATATGAACATGAATCTGTAGGTTTTACCTTCTTTCTTCTGAAGAAACACTTCCGCACAATATATCTCATCCTCGCCAGTACAATTAATCATCTTCTCCTTACATCCACTCTGTTCCTTTGACTCAATATAGCAAGCCGGGCATCTTTTGTTGTTGGTAGTTACAATTTTTCTGGCAGGCACTGCAGGAAAGAAGAAGGAGGTTTAAGGTAAAAAGAATCATAAAGGAGATTGGGATAACCTCGGTGTAAGGGTGGGCAAACTCAGAAACCTGCACCTTCCTCCCTTAGCAACTTTCTCAGTTCTGATAGAAGAGACCATCTGTGATTCAGGGTTGAGCTGTGGGGTCCTTTGTACTCTCTGAGCTTAGTGGCTTTCTTGCAGACATTTCATTACCAAACTAGGTAACATCATCAGGGCTACCTAGTTTGGCAATGAAGCGTCTGCAAGAAAACCACCCAGCTCAGAGACCATCAAAGACTCAATTCCTATCGACATTATCATGCAACTGCCCTCCTCACTCATACAATCTGATTACTTTGTCCTGTTATCTGGGAGATCCATAATATTTGAAAGGAATAAACAGTGAGATTAAAGCAAGAAGTTGCAGAATCAGCCTATTGCCCCCAACAATCTGAGCCCTCATTTTACCAACCTCGGAAGGATGGAAGGATGAGTCAATCTTGAGCTGGTCAGGATTGAACTCCTGGCAGCGTGCAGAGTTTGCCTGCAGTACTGCCTTCTAACCTCTGCGCCACCAATAATCCCATGCCTACCCAAGGCTTTTAACATGCACCACTGAATAAAATCAGGCCTCTTTTACTAGAATGGATACTGAATACTGAACTTTTACTGAATGAGAGTCAGTATGGAAATGCAGGAGGAATATTAGTCTGGGACTTTGAAGAATTTCTAATGCCCCTGCCCTAGATGATGGCCTTGCCTGTGGCCATCATGCTACTCTACATCTCACCAAAAGTCTCCCCACAAACAAGGTATGATCGCATGCAGAAGATTTATCTTTAGGTGGGGAACAAGAGAGAGGGAAAGAATGGCAAAGAATCAGAGAAAACGAGAGCCTCAAAGTGTACAGCTGGAATGATTGGTGCATTGATGCTCCTCGCAGCATGAAATGTAGCCTTGGATGATCTGGTTCTTGCCCATGTCCAGAACAGCCAAACCCTTGTTACACTCCTCTGGATGGATGCAGCTCCTCTTGGTGCCGTGTTTGGTGGGTCCTGTAGGGATCCAAAAGAAGAGTTGGTGTCGGAAACGGTGAATTGCTCAGTATCTCTGTGAGTGGCAGATAAAAACCTTTTCAGCATGAACCTTCAGCATCTCCAGCCCCTCTCCTGGTTCCCAAGAGTTTGGATCCATCCGGTGTTTCACCATCTGCTAGTCACCAGATAAGTTGGAATATCAATCAGAATAGAGCTAGAAGCAGTGGTGACATTCAATTCTTTTTACTACTGGTTCTGTGGGCATGGCTTGGTGGACATGGTGTGGCTTGGTGGGCGTGGCTTGGTGAGCGTGGCTTGGTGGGCCTGGTGTGGTTTGGTGGGCATGGCATGGCTTGGTGGGCGTGGTGTGGCTTGGTGGGCGTGATGTGCCTTGGTGGGTGTGGCCTGGTGGGCATGGCAAGGGAAGGATACTGTAAAATCTCCATTCCCACCTGACTCCAGGGGAAGGATACCGCAATATCCCCCTTCCCTCCCCACCCCACTAACCTGCTTTCCAGCTCCGTTCTCCTGTACAGGGCAACCAAAGAAGACCCAGCCAATCAGCTGGGACTCCGGAGGCAGAGAATAGATTGGGTTGGCAGGGTTCTCCGAACTACTCAAAATTTCCACTACCGGTTCTCCAGAACTGGTCAGGACCTGCTGAATACCACCTCCGGCTAGAAGGGACCTTGGAGGTCTTCTAGTCCAGCCCCATGCTGAAGCAGGAAGCCCAATACAATTTGAGACCAGTGGCTGTCCAGTCTCTTCTTAAAAACCTCCAGTGATGGAGCACCCACAACTTCTGAAGGCAAGCCACTCCACTGGTTCATTAGGCTCATGAATTATTTTGTCAAACACGATTTCATTGAGGGCTACATCAGGGTTGTGTTTGACCTCGGAGGGCCGGGGTGGGCATGGCCATGATGAGCATGAAACAGGACTTGTCTCGGGGGCACCTGTGGTGGCCAAGTGCTAAGGCAGGACTTCCCTGAGACCCTCCCTCACTCTCATTATAATTTCCTTCCCTCCTATCTTCCTTCCTTCCTTCTCTTCTTTTTCCTTCCCTCTTCCTTCTCCTTCCTTCTTCCTTCCCCTCTTTCCTTCTTTTTCCTTCCTTGCTCTCTTCCCATCTTCCCTTTTTTTTCTTTCTCTTTCTTTCCCCTTTCCCTTTCTCCTTTCCTGGCCCTTCTTGGATGCTCAAATGCAAAAGGGGGAAACATTTCTCCTTTTCTTTTTGAGTTTGTTTTGATAGCCCTCTGCCAGCGAAAATGGAGCTGGGGCAGTGGGCATCATGCAGAAGCCCTGAAGGCCGCTCCTTTGCTGTTTCCGCAGGGCGGGCCAGATCTACACACCCTGCTGGCCTGATCTGGCCTGCAGGCCTTGAGTTTTACACCCCTATTCTACAATCTACAACGCAGCTAATCCTTGGCTTTCCATTCTTTGTTTAGGGACCATTTGAAGTTACAACCACAGCCAGGGGTGAGCTTCAAAAAATTTTAGCAACCGGTTCTCTGCTCAGTTGCTGGGTGGGCCTGGCCTAGTCAGCCTCCTGCAACATGGCAGGGGCGGGGGAGAGTTTTTGCCCTCCCCGGGCTCTGGAGGCTTTTCTTGAGCCTCCAGGAGGGTGAAAACAGCCTCTCTGGGCTCTGGAGGCTCTCTGGAAGCTGGAAACAGGGCCATTTCCGGCCTTCCCGAACTTCCGGGAGGCCTGTTTTCTGCCCTCCCTGAGGCTCCCTACGTGGCCTGCACTTATTGCATCCAAAATGGCCGGTGTGGGGACTCCTGGGAGGGGCGGGGCAGGGTGGGCGGGGCCAGCCAGGAGTGGGATTTGGGGATTCTTCAAACTGCACAAAATCTTAGCTAGGGAGCCCTCCCGAACCCTTGCGAACCCCCAGCAGGCCCAGCCCTGACCACAGCACTGGAAAAGGTTAAGTTCAGTGCCTTGAGTTCATTATAAAGGCAGTGGGATAATAAATAAACAAGATAACGACCAAAGGAGCCATCTGTTTTTCCCTTCCCTGCTCTCCAGATGAGATTAGCCAATCTAGGAAGGAAGTTGGCAGTTGATGGGGGAGACTCTCCCCAGGATGCTGTGGGATGACCACTGAGGGGCGGGTGTGTCTCAGTTGTGTTTCACACACAGATACGCACAGACACACTGAGACACACTCCCGGGGAAAAGCATCACATGAATCTAGAAAAGCATGTAAGTGTTTGAAGTACACTTGAACAGTGGTCTTCCCTGTTTCTATCCATCTCAGCAATCAGCTGTTTAGGATTCTAATTGACAGGTGCATATACTCTCTCTCTCTCTCTCTCTCTCTCTCTCTCACACACACACACACACACACACACACACACATACACACACACACACACAGAGAGAGACAGAGAGACAGACACAGACAGACACAGACACAGACACAGACACAGACACAGACACACACACACACACACACACACACACACCCCAGAGGTGGTATTCAGCAGGTTCTGACCAGTTCTGGAGAACTGGTAGCAGAAATGTTGAGTAGTTCCAAGAACTGGCCAATGCCACCTCTGACTGGTGGTTCCAAGAACTGGCCAATGCCACCTCTGACTGGTGGCCATCTATTCTCTGCCTCCCATTGAGTCCCAGCTTATTGGCTGGGTCTTTGGTTGGCCTGCACAGGAGAACGGAGCTGGAAAGCAGGTTAGTGGGGTGGGGAGGGAATGGGGATTTTACAGTATTCTTCCCCTGCCATGCCCACCAAGCCACGCCCACAGAGCCAGTAGTAAAGCAGGTAGCCAGTAAGTAGATAGATAGATAGATAGATAGATAGATAGATAGATAGATAGATAGATAGATAGATAGATAGATAGATAGGCAGGCAGGCAGACAGACAGACAGACAGACAGACAGACAGACAGACAGACAGACAGACAGATCAGAGGTGGTATTCAGCAGGTTCTGACCAGTTCTGGAGAATCGGTAGCGGAAATTATGAGTAGTTCGGAGAACCAGCAAATCCCACCTCTGACTGGCCCCTCCCCCATCTATTCTCTGCCTCCCATTGAGTCACAGCTTATTGGCTGGGTCTTTGGTTGCCCTGCACAGGAGAACGGAGCTGGAAAGCAGGTTAGTGGAGTGGGTAAGGAATGGAGATTTTACAGTATCCTTCCCCTGCCACGCCCACCAAGCCATGCCCTGGTAGTAAACTGGTAGTAAAAAAAGTTGAACCCCACCACTGACACACACACACACACAAATCTTTTCTTTCTCAAAACTGTGAAGCCCAAGTAATGAAACCACAGGGCATTGATTCAGTATATGGTTTAAGCTACAGGATAAAATCAACCCAGTTTGTAGAAGAGACCATTCAGGATAATGTTGATTGGCTGCATGCTGAACTTGTTTTGTGTTTTGTACCTACCCGAATGTTTTTTACCTACCAAAATTCTTTTCCAACAAGACAATGCTACATTTGTCTTCCAGAGCAGAGCAGGCTTCCTTACTACCTTGGCAGTTCTTTCCACTTGATTGACAAATGGTGCATTCCCGAGACATTGCAAAAACTGAAGAAAACAAGATTTTTTTAAAAAATGAATCATTTTTCTTTCCTTTCTCTTTTCTCCTTCCTCCTTTCCTTGCATTTCTGTTTCCCTTCTTAAATGATACTGGTAATAATCTGGCTGACTGTGTGACTAACCATAACAACAACAACAACAACAACAACAACAAGCCAGGCCCTTGGAAGAACTTGACAGGCAAATAAAAATGCCAAATCCAGTTTGAACTTTTGCTTCGCAATGCGATCAACCATACAAATAATAATAATAGCAAATGATTAAACTTGCATGCTGCCTGTCTCTCCAGAACTCAGGGTGACTCCCAATGAAGAAATTACACTAAAATCAATAGAAGATTAAAAAAAAAATAAAGATGAAAAGGAGAATTGCTGTGTTTGCTTCTTGAACTGGGAGGGGGGGGGTGAGGGTAGGATGATACTCTTGTCAGGGGTCCAGCAGCACATAATCCACAGCTTTCCACGCCTCCAGAGCTAGTTGTAAATGATAACAGATAACAGATAATCAGAGTTCAAGGGACCTTATAGGTCATCTAGTCCAACCCCCACCCAAGCAGGAGACTCTACACCATTTCTGACAGATGGCAGTCCAGTCTCTTCTTGAAAGCTTCCAGGGATGGAGCTCCCATAACTTCCGAAGGCAACTTCTGTTCCATTGTTGATTGTTCTCACTGTCAGAAAGTTTCTCCTTATTTCCAGGTTGAATCTCTCCTTGTTCAGTTTCCATCCATTATTCCTTCTCTGGCCTATAGGCGCTTTAGAGAATAGCTTGATCTCTTCCTCCCTGTGACAGCCCCTCAAATATTGGAAGACTGCTATCATGTCTCCCCTGGTCCTTCTGTTCACTAGACTAGCCAAGCCCAGTTCCTGTAACCATTCTTCATGTTTTAGTCTCCAGTTCCCTAATCATCCTGGTTGCTCTTCTCTGTACTTTTTCTAGAGTCTCAACATCTTTTTTATAATGTGGTGAACAAAACTGGAAACAGTACTCTAGGTGTGGTCTTACTAAGGTTTTATAGAGTGGTGTTAGTACCTCCCTTGATCTTGATTGTATCCCTCTGTTAATGCAACTTAGGATTGCATTGGCTTTTTGGGCTGCTGCTGCACACTGCTGGCTGCTATTTAGCTGGTTGTCCATGAAGCTTCCAAGATCCCTCTCCCAGTTCCTGCTATTGAGCCTGGTTTCACCCAGTCTATATGCTTGTGATCCAACCTCAACAGTCTGCCCAGCTGAGCCCACGAACCTCTGTCCACACACGAAGAAGAACACATGTTTTGTGGTGCCGCTTAGGTGACACACTTTGCTTCTATTCCATGCGGGCATAGACACACACATTTTGAAACACCCACACAGCACTGAGTGATGCAAATCCTTTCAGCCTGCATTAATGGCAGAGGTGGTTCCGTTTCAACATGTTGTCACTGAAGGACACAACCTATGTATGATGAGGTGATCATCTTTTTTTTGTAAAAAAGTTTTTTATTTTTATATTTTAAACATCTCTTTTGGTGAACAATGTGGTTCCAGGTTTTTAGATTTCCATACAAACATGAACTTAGTAACATATTTATCTTTCACATTCAATTTCATATTATATCAATATTCTTGTATTCTTCACACTTATTTTATACATATTCTATTCATGTCTTAGCTTATTTCATTTTTCTTTAAACATTCTCATGTCTTCTTTATATAACATTTAAAGTTCTCATTTCTTATTCTATATTCATTATACTGTTATATTTTTATCTGTCACATTTGCAGTCTCATCACCTAATCTTATGTCATTATTCAATAAATTCCATCTTAATTCTAGTAATTTCAAAGATTTCCCCCTATAATTACCAATTTGAGTGTGCCACCCCCTTTGTCTTATACATCATTCAATTAACTCCCCTTTAATTCATAATAATGATTTCTCATAGTATAGTCACTTTTTAGTTATCACTTTATAGATTAGTAACAATAAAGTGATCATCTTAAGTGGGAGGGAAACATAGTTCAAATCAATTTAATGAATATTGGCAATTCCTTCCTCTCCCTCTGCCCCCCCCCCCCCCCCCCCGGGGCACAATTGGAAGGGTTGGGACCCATCGTCCAGAAGAGAGCCCCTTCAGTCATAAATCATCCCAAACGAAGGTACTCACCCAAAGTAATGGATGCTGTAAGAAGGCAGGTGACAAAAGTCGCCTCCATGTTGCCAGAGGTTGGCTGAAATCAGAGCTGGGCTGGGAAGCTTGTTGAATGCATCCAAGGCTCTGCTTCCAATAGACCTAGCCTGGCTTTATGGAAAAGGCAAGCCAAAAGGGGAGAGGAGGTATCCAATCATTGCTCCACCCCTGCCTCCCCCTCCCTTCCTCCCCCCCCCTACAAAGGGATTGTGGCCAAGCTACTGTGGTGAGATAGCAACTTTCCATACGGGTAGTCCTGCCTTTTGCATCAGAGCCAATTAAGAGTCTTGCATCATTATAAAAATGTTTTTACTTATTAGCCCACATCCAATTTTTAGACAATAAGATAAATAAGATACACTCTGCACTTTTCTTTTCTTTCTTTCTTCCTCATTCCTTCTTTCCTTCCTTCCTATATTCGCCCTTCCTTCCTCCCTCCCTCCCTCCCTTCCTTCCTTCCTATATTTTCCCTTCCTCCCTTCCTCCCTATATTATTTCTTCCTCCCTTTCTCCCTTAGTTCCTTCCTATATTCTTCCTTCCTTCCTTCCTCCTTCCTTCCTACTTTCCTTCCTATATTCTTCCTCCCTTCCTTCCTTCCTCCCTTCCTTCCTTCCTTCCTTCCTTCTTACCTTCCTTCTTACCTTCCTTTCTTCCTTCCTCCTCCCTCCCTCCCTTCTTTCTTTCTTTCTTTCTTTCTTTCTTTCTTTCTTTCTTTCTTTC